AAGAAGCACAGGAAAAGATACTCTCTCTCATTTGTCATGAGGGATATGCAAATCTTAATGAGAATGAGATACCATTTCACACCCACTAGATGTCTATAAAAGAAAAAAAGTGTTGGAGAGGATGTGGTCAAACTGGAACTCACATATTGCTGGTAGAAATGTAAAACGATGTATCCACTGTGGAAAACACTTTGATAGTTTCACAAAAAGTTAAAGCAGAATTACCATATGACCCAGCAATTCCATTCCTAGGTATATACCCAAAAGAATTGAAAAGAGGTACTCAAATAAATACTTACACACAGATGTTCATGCCAAAACTATTCACAATAGTCAAAAGGTGGAAACAACTGAAAGGTCCATGAATAGATAAACAAAATGTGGCATACACATACAATGGAATATTACTGAGCTATAAAAAGGAGTGAAGTACTGATACATATTACTGTTACACTTCCCCCTGTGTAACAGAGAAGAAAAAAAAATTACATGATTACTCAAGCACTATGTATACATTGAGAAGCCCGGAAGGACTGCACTTCAGTAATTTCCCCATTAGGAGGAGAAAACTGAATGTGATAGCAGCAATTCAAAGTTAGCCTCTCCCTTTTATTTCAAAGACAAAGAAGTTTCACAAGAAAATTCAGTTGATTTAATCATTACAAAGAACACAAGGATATGGGCAGAATTATGGCTAAGTATAGTTTTAACCAATGGGAACTAGTAACATCAATGAAATAAACAAAGTGACATTCCATAATGCAATTTATAAAAGGTTAAGTTGATCCACCAACAAAAGCTTGTTCTCAGTAAACATTGTCTTTTCTTACAGCAATTTCCTTAGTATTTTTACACAACCATCAAGCAACTTTCTTAACATATCAATCAGTAGGTTAACCAAGGGCATCTGTCCTTGAGACAGCAATTTTGCTTTGTTACAATTCTTTATCTACAACAGAGACTTTAGCCTGGGGAAAGTTTCCTGTCTTTTGCAAGCTTAACATTTCTATATGTAATTTTTAAAAGTTAGGTTATACCTGAAACTATGGGGCTTTGGAAGTGAGGCCCTGTAAAATACATTTGTTTTATTAATGTTAGTACACTCCACATATTACAACATGAAAGAACCTCAAAAACATTATGCCAAGTGAAAGAAGCCAAACACAAAAGGTCATGTATTTTCAGTTCCTGGTGAGGGAACCATAAAAAAAAAAGTCACATATTGTGTGATTCCATTTATATGAAATATCCAGAATAGGTAGGTCAAGAGAGACAGAAAGCAGATTGTTGGTTTCCAGGCATTGGGGGTAGGATGGGATGGGGAATGATTTCTTAATGAATATGGAGATTTCTTTTGCTGTGATGAAAGTGTTTTGGAACTAGATAGAAGTGGTGGTTGCACCACATTGTGGATGTGCCAAATGCCACAGAATTATACACTTTAAAGTGGCTAACTTTATGATATGTGTATTTCAAAAAACCAATAGAATGTCATAAGCAAAGAAAAGTTTTTTGCAATTTATATCATATATATAGGATTAATCAACCTATAATATAAAGAACTCTAATATATCAAGAAGGAAAAGACCAAAACTGGGATTTTAAAAAAGGTTTACAGAGAAAGAAATGTAAATGGCCATTATACATATGAAATTATGCTCAACCATGATCAGAAGAGATATGCAAATTAAAACTACACTGAGATATTATTTCTCACCTATCAGATTGGGAAAAACCCAAAAGTTTAATAACACACTCTCTTGGCAAGTCTAGTGAAACAGGAAATCTCATACATTGTAGGAGGGAATACAAAATGGTACAGTCTCTATGGAGGTAAAATTTGCAATATCTCACTGAATTATAGATACAGTTGACCTCTGATCCAATAGTCCTCTTTTAGGAATCTGTGCTGAAGCTATTCCTGCACAAAGTTAAAATAACATATGCATGAAGTTTTTCACCATTGCATTATTTGTAGTGGTAAAATATCAGAAACAACCCAAAAGTTCTTCAGTAAAAGAGTGGTTGAAGAAACTGTGGTTTATCCACTAAATTGAATGCTATACATCTATTAAAACTGTGAGGAAGCTCTATATGATCTGATATGAAGTAATCACCAGTTTATATAATTAAGTGAAAAAACAAGGTGCAGAATAGTGTTAATAGAATGTTACCTACTTTGTAAGTAAGGAGGGGAAATAAAGAAAAAAAAAGTACACATATATTTGCAAAAAGAAATACTGAAAGTATAAACTAGAAACTAATAAAAATGATTACCTCTAGAGGTAACAATAGGAAATGGGGTTGAAAGGCATGAAGGAAACAACTCTCTTTTTTAAAAAAAAAATGATGACCGGTAAGGGGATCATGACCCTTGACTTGGTGTTGACAGCACCATGCTCTCACAAGTGAGCTAACCGGCCATCCCTATATACGGATCCGAACCTGCAGCGTTGGTGTTATCAGCACCACACTCTCCCAAGTGAGCCATGGGCCAGCCCTGGAAAGAACTTCTCTGAGTGTACTTTTTTATATAGCTTTGACTTGTGAACCTGTAAATGTTTTTCAAAATATAAAACTGAATCAAAAAGGGAAAAGAAGCAAACTCTAAAATTGAAAAAAGAGAAAGAAATGACCCTAACTGTATATCAAAATAGTAACACAACCACACAGGTAAAATAATTTTTCATTTTAACTTTAGAATATTTTACTCTGACTATAAATCCTTTGGTGGGACAAAAAGAAAAAAACTTATGAAGTCATTTTAATCCTCATTCAGTAGTTTAATTGTTAGTAGTGATATTGGTACTATAGTGATATTGATACTATTTTTATATTTATGCATGTATGTATTATAGTGTAATGCAAATAAAGAATTATGTTCATGTTATTAGGAACCGGAACTTTCAAAGTAAGATCAATTAGATACATGTATAAATTCAGAAGACTTCTAAAATGCTGTAATTTTACATTTCAATTGGAAATATCAATTACATTTAATTTTTTATTGCCTTTTCTAACATTGTGCATTAAAAGCAGTAGCAATGAGCTCCTTTAGAAACTAGATTTTGGCCTCTACATACCATTCTCTACTGAAAGCAACAAACATTCCATTGGAATATGGCTGATTTTTGGTCTAGAACAGTGTTTTTTAACTTTTTAAAAAATTACTTCCCATCCCTGGAGACTTTTTAGGCATTTTTTCTCCTAATCACTCCCTACAACATGGAATTTTAACACTGCAGATATATCATATGTCTGTTTATGTACTGTGGCCAATTGAGCCACAAACCATTGGAATATCTGATTTTTTTCCCCCTCCCCACCAAGAACCAATTTTGTTGAAAATGCATGGTCTAGGGCAAGGAAAGCATAAAGTGATCCTACAGAAAGCAAGGAAGCAATCAAGCCTGACAAACGTCTCACTGACCAGAATTGGAACAATTTGGGCATTAAAAAGAATAGTTACTGTAATTGATCAAAGCATACTGAATATATGAGTACAAAAATCCATAAGCCCACAGTGAATCTTACAAAAAAGAAAACAGTTTTAACACCAAGGTTAAGGGTTTGAATCCCAGTACCAAACAGCAGCAAAGAATAAATGAATGAATGAATAAATAAATAAAATAATATTTATTTGCTACTATCAAAGAATATTTTTCATTGACTCTTTACTCTAAAAAAGTAATTAAAGTGAAATAAACAGTTATCCTACCTTTTCAGTGAGAACTGTTGTTCAGTATAATCAAATGGCCCCAGTTGAAGAGGGAAAGCTTGTTACAGAAAATATGCCAGCTAATAAATGTAGAAGGATAAACTGAAAGAAAATCACCATTTGACACCCCTAATAAAATAATCAAGGAACGTCAATGGATGCTAACACCATTAGGTGAAACATTGATGGAGAACTTGTCATTTCCTGAAGGATCACTCCTAATCAGAAGGGAAAAATTTTACAATGGTGAGATCTTGTGAGCACCACCTTAACCAAGTTTGTAAACGTAGCCTTACTTATAAGGGAAACAATGAGACATTTTGCGCCTCCAATATGATAAATAGAAAGTACACAGTATCACCTCTTGTAGTATTCTTAACAAAATTATTTAACCTGAATCATCTAACGAGGTCTTTTAGATCTAATTACTAGTTCATACGCAATACAAGGGAAGTGAAATAAGTTAAATGATTCTATGAGGAAGCAATCAGACAAGTCCAGACTGTGGGACGTGACATTCTGCAAGACAACTGGCCTGTTCTTTTCAAAAAATTGCTATGAAGAAGCGGGGTGGAGAGAGAGGGCACTATTCTGTTTTAAAAGAGACTTTGGAGACATAACAAAATGCAAATGTGGGACATGACATTCTGCAAGACAACTGGCCTGTTCTTTTCAAAAAATTGCTATGAAAAAGCAGGGTGGAGAGAGAGGGCACTATTCTGTTTTAAAAGAGACTTTGGAGACATAACAAAATGCAATGCATGGTCGATGTTTGATTCCTGCTGTAAAAGATATTTGGGGAATAACTGGGGAAATTTGAATATGGACTGGGTATTGAATGATATTAGGAATTATTTTTTATTTTGTTCAGCTTATTAATGGTGTGTAGCTATGTAGGAAAAATTCCTTATATTTTAGAGATGCATACTGAAGTATTTAGAGGTGAAATGTTTTGTAATGTCCATCCATCATTTTCTTTGGCATGGAAAAATAGGTGAAACAAACATGGCAAATGTTACTGTGTTAATGTGTTAAATCTAAGAGATGAGTATATGGGTATTGATTGCATTAGTCTTTCATCTACATTTTAAACATATGTTTGAAAATGTTCATAATATGAAGTTTAAAAAATTGAAAATGGTTTGGGTGAAGGGTCCCTAGGAAATACTACTTCTCAACACAAGGAAGGGTAAGTTGGCTTTGACTTATGTTGAGAACGTGTGGCTCTTGGATTCTTCCTCATATGCTTTTTTTTCTCCTCCCTCCCCACCTTCCCATCCAGCCCTCTTTGACTCCATGCACAGCAACCAGGCCTCAGATAGTCCATTTTCCCCACCCCGTACTCTTCATTCACCTCCCCTGCAACTACGGCAGCACTCTGAGAAGCCCCCCTGGTGTAAGTAATCCTTTTGGAATTGCCTAGACAAAGGTCAAGAAGGATGGAGGGATTGGTTAATGAGGGACCTATCTCATGAGGGAAAAGAAGATGAGGATTCAAAGACCAGGAATATTCACTTGGGGAAGCAGTCTCATCTGCTGTTTCCAAGATGAAGGGAGGATTTGTTTATTCTCTCTTCATCTCTGTCTTTTTTTTTTTTTTTAAAAGATGACCAGTAAAGGGATCTTAACCCTCGACTTGGTGTTGTCAGCACCACGCTCAGCCAGTGAGCGAACCGGCCATCCCTATATGGGATCCGAACCCGTGGCCTTGGTGTTATCAGCACCGCACTCTACCGAGTGAGCCACAGGCCGGCCCCTCTTCATCTCTGTCTTCCATGCTCCCTCTATCTCATCAGAGAAGATCCTAAAAGATCTTCCTAAAAGATCTGGATCCTAAAAGATCCAGAGGGCCCTTTGGGGAAAAAGGAATGGAGACTTCATTCTCCTCAGATGCCTATTTGGTCACTACAGCTTTCTCCAGTAAAGATAACCAGGAGGCAACTAGATACATAGAAAAGCTGGGAGCAGGAAACTAGAATCTGCTACTAACTTCTACATGCCCCTTCTCTCAAATTGTCTGTTCTCAGTTGTTCAAATTGAGGTGCTGCTTTTTCCCAATCTCTTCTTTATTGTCTCTAGCCTATTACTAATTATTCTTGGTAACAGTGTGAACAGTGGAGCCACAAGGAGTTCTTAGGGTGATAGTAGGGAGGAGGAGATACCAGTGCTAATTGGAGGTGGGGATACAGGCCAAAGGCACTGGTGAGGGAAAAATACTTTCCTTATCATCCTGCCTCCAGGGAATAAATGAAATCAAAAGTGTCTTTCATTATTTTATTTGGATAGGACTGAAGCAAAGATTCATATTTCGGCATTGGAGTTAACAGTTGTAGAATTTACCTTTCTTCTGGCACCCTGTATGAGGAAGAAACTTTCCTCCTTAACACCAAGAATTCTTCCCCTGAATTTCATATTATCCTAAACCTACCTTGCCATTGCCCCTTTTACCTCTCTCCTAGAGTGTTTATGGATTCTGTACCCTGGAAATCTTATCCTTCTCCTTCTTCTCTTTCTGTCTGACCTCTTTGATTTGTCTGAATCAGACAACTAGCTGGGTATTAAGGATACTTCTTTCTATACTTGGGTAAAGCTCAGCTTACATCTTTTCTTTTTCTTTATTTTTTCATCTAATATCAGTCCTTTGACAATATCAAATATGTACCCTCATCGATAAACATCTTCTTCAGGGTCTGTCTGTCTGTACCAGAAATAGGCACCATATCTAGGCTTAAAGCCTTGTTGGCCCAAAACCATGTTCTTTTTTTCTGCCTGAAGCATGCCTCCTCTGATCCTTTACAGAAGACAGATAAACTATCATACCTTAAATTCAGTAGCCGATTGAGCTTTGCAGGCTCAGCTTCCCAACTTTCCCAGGTTCTCTTTGATGATAATGTATTCAGGTGTTTCCTATTTCCAGAATCTATTGAAACCACAGTACATTAATATATGTATAGGTACAATTTCATCAATAAATATTATATTTACAAAGGGAAAAGTAGGTTAGTTTCCTACCAGAGATCAATGAAGAAATAGAGGTTGGAGTAGATATTGTTCCACTGTGTAATTAAACATTTTAAGGTCTTCATTATACTACTGTCAGGTCTGGGAAATTAGTTTTTATGCATGTAATACGTACAAGCCTGTAACACTGTATATGTCCCAAGACTTAGAGGGTCTTAATCTTAGATCCATGGATGGGTTTCAAGTTAGAATTTATGAGCCCCAGGAATCATTTGTAAAGATTAGTTTGAATATCCTCGTGTGCATTTTTCCTGAAAGATAATCTGTGACTTTCATTATAGCCTCGAGATCCATGGATGGGTTTCAAGTTAGAATTTATGAGCCCCAGGAATCATTTGTAAAGATTGGTTTGAATATCCTCGTGTGCATTTTTCCTGAAAGATAATCTGTGACTTTCATTATAGCCTCGAAGGGGTCAGTGACCCCCAGAAAGGTTAGTTAAGAACTTCTGCCATTTAGAGATTCTATGGCAGTCTCCCATCTTTAGGTATATCATTTTCTTTCCTGCTGTTCTGATCTGTAAGGTTTTTCTACATTCTCCTGCTTACTTATCTCTTGGGCTGAAAACAATGATTACCTCTGTCCCCAAAATACATTGCTTGCTTTAAAGAATGATTCTTAACAAAAGTTATATACCAGATTCAATTGGGAATGTTTCAACAAAATGATATTGCCCTCATCCTCCCCGCTCCCCGCATCTATACCTTTCTACTAACCTGTAAAATTAGAATCACTGGAGATGGAACCTGGAAATTTGTACTTTAAAAATAATTTCCACAATTTTGATATGTAACACTAATTATGAACCACTAGGCTAAAGTGTTCATATGCTTCCAAAGTAGGGAGGCGGGGTCATGGAAATTTGGAGTTGGGATGGAGGTGTATTTGTGAAAGAACGAGATGAAGTGGGCCTTAACATTCTCTCCTGAAGTCTTAGATGTACCTTAGTGCTACTTTTATACATTAGGCCAGGGTGACAGTTCATGAGCTGGGCAAACTTAGGCATTTCTGTCTAATTTAGGTAGAGACCCTCTTTCCCCAAGACACGAGTAGCACAGGCCATCCATCTTAGTGTTTGAACTACATGTATAGGGTAGAGCCTGCTACTCTTCTAGTGTGTCTGACTTGGTCGTCTGACTTTGCTTTACAGACAGCAGTGGCCCTTCTAGCACTGTGTCCAGTGCTGGTCCTTCCTCCCCTACTGCAGTGGATGATAACTCCCATTTTGGCTTCAGTGACCAACCTTCCCTAAATTCTCATGTGACTGAAGAACATCAAGGCCTTGGGCTCCAAGAAGCCCCTGGGAATGGAGCACAAGAGCTTTTCATAGAAGGGGAGCAAGAGCTTTTTGAACCAAATCAGTCCCCACAGGAGCCACCTGTGGAAAACAGCCAGCCATTCCAGGACGTCCTTGAGGAGGTCAGCCAGCCATGCCAGGAGATGCCTCAGATCAGCCAGCCATGCCAGAAGGCCAACCAGTTGTGCCGGAAAGTACCTGAGGAAGTTTGCCAGCTTTGCCAGGAAAACCCTGAGGAGGCCAGCCAGCTATTCCAGGGGGTCCCTGTGGAGGTTGGCAGGCTGGTCCATGAGTTTCCTGTAGCAGTTGGGGACCTTGTCCAGGAAACTCTTGTGGAAGTTGGCTGGCCAGCCCAAGAGATCCCTGAGGAGCTCAGCCAGCCATGCCAGGAGTTCTCTCTGGAGCTTGGCAGGCTGGCCCAGGAAGCTTCTGCAATTAATATGTTGTCTCAGGACTTCCCTGAGGTTGATAAACCATCTCAAGAGTTCCCTAGGGAGATTGATCTGCAGACACAGGAAGTCCCTGAGATTAATCAGCAGTCTTGGGTGGTCCCTGAGGTGACTGACCAGCTGCCTGGAGAGGATGTTCCTCAAGGCCAGTATCCATCTAGTGATCCAAACCCTCAGAGCCAGTCTCTAGCCCACGACCAGCCACCAGCAACATGTAATTAATCACTTTCTCATTAGTGGTGTCACACTGCAGCAGCCATTTGAGCCAGCAACCTTTTCTGTTGGCTAACTCACTGGCCAGCGTGAGGCCTTGGCCGTCACCAGAGGTGTCTGAGGAAGCAGTCCTCTTGGCATGAAGCATACCTGTGCCAGAGCTGTTCTTGGGGAGGAGGCAATTTTATGTTCAAAGCAGCCATTGGCTCCTCGCCTAGCCACTAGCCTTGAATAGGATTTCCTTGGGGTAGGCAGGTCTATCATTACCCAACCTACTCTGAGCATCGTAGAAAATCTCAGACTTTTAAAGGAAATGCCACTTAACTGCCGAAGACATCATTGGGGGACAACAAAAAAGGGGGGACTTCACTTTTCTGGGGAAATATTCATAGCTTCTCAAGATACCATTAGACATGCATTCAGGGGGACATATATGCATTCAGGGGGACTCTTTGCTAGCACTCCTCAGGTGAGTCCAGGATCTCCATCTGAAATGTCTGAAAAATAGAGAGTCCTCTTCCCAAACAAACATCTGTCATGGCCACTAATCTTTAGACTGGGCTTATGGATGTTTCCACATCATCCCCGAGTGCCCCATCTGCCCCAGTCCTATTCCTCTGGTCTACAGCTCTACGGAAAAATAGGTATTAGATTGCTGTGCAATTTTTAGAGTAACTACTTAAAATGCTCTTGGCCAATCTATGATTCTGGGCCTTCCTTTCTTGTGGGACTGTTTGGATTAGGAGATGCTGTGGAGGAGAGAATCAGGTTCTATTTTAAGCAATCAGCAGAGATCAATATTGTACAGACATGGGCAAAGATTTATCTATCTATCTATCTATCTATCTATCTGTCTCTATATATATTTCTGTAGTTGTGCCAGGGACAGACTGGTCAAAGACCAAATATTCCAGTGTCCCCAAGAAGTTTGTCCTTATATCATTGTGTCTTTAGGGCCAGATGTGATTATGAAGCTTTTCCCAAAGATCTGGAGATGGGATTGGGCGTGGGTAGGAGGGGTAATTGGGGTGGGGGGCCGGAACATTATAAGTGCTCAATAAATGTGAAATAATGAGAATGGTGGTGGTGGTGATAATGCTCTTGTAAATTCAAGAATGAATATGACTGTGAGTCAATTATGTCTGTGACTGAATTAATCTGAATCAGTCAAAAGCCATTATAGTTAAGCAGAAGTGAGCTGTAAAAATATAGAGATCAGACATCCCAGGAAGTCCCTATAGCAGTCAAACCATCATCTCAAAATGTCTTTAATGAGTAGAGTGTTTTTATTTTATTTTTTTGTCTTTTGTCTTTTTGTTCCGTGTCCGGCAACGGATCGCAACCCTCAGTGTTGCCCCCGTACCGGACCAGGGACCGGCAATGGGATTGCAAACCTCGGTGTTGCTCCCACGCCTCGCTCAGCCAGTGAGCGGGAGCCGGTCTGTATGTGGGATCCGAACCCTCGGGCGGCAGTACATCCCAGGAAGTCCCTATAGCAGTCAAACCATCATCTCAAAATGTCTTTAATGAGTAGAGTGTTGGTGGGGGCTGGGGGGTGGACAAAGGTTCTATCTCTGTGAAGCAGCAAAGGGTATATGCCTTCTCACCGGATCCTTGAAATCACCCTCTTAAGTTTCACTATGATGGTTTGGTGTGTCAGGGATTGATACAAAGAGGCTATGCTCTTTCTCTACCCTTTTGACATCTTTACTTTGGGAAACCTAGAACATTGGGAGGGCTAGAAAATCCCCCTCCCCTTAAATACACATTTGTAAACTGGCCACTCCTGACATGCCTAGGACTAGAAAGGGTTTCAATGCAGGAGGACAAAATCTAACTTTTTTACTCTATGGAAATCCTGACTACACAGTGGGAGGTGTTTCCAACCTCAGTAGGCTCTGGATAGTTTATGGCCCCTCAACTCATCTCTTTGGTATTCCCCTGTCCAGGGTATCTGATCCTGGTTATTTGGTCCTCAGCTCTTGACCTCATGGAATGCAGATCCCCTTCCCAGGAGGCTCCCTGTCCCTCTTCCCTCCCCTAAACCAAGTGTATATCCTCACCCTATTCCCCATAAGGCATTTTCACACATTTTTAGAAATTATGCTGCATCCTATATCTTTTTATTTTGCCCACCCTGACTATGTTCTTTGGTTCCTGGAACTGATTCCAATAATCAAAGGCATTGAAATCTTCTGAGATAAATGACAATGCTGGTTGAAGCAAAGAGGTGGAAGCCAGGGCCCAGCAACTAAGCAATATGTGGAGTTAGAAAAAGCCTACGCAGCACTACACCATCTGCGATGAACTTGATTTATTGTTAGAGTTGGAGGCAGCTTCATTACAGCAGCTGGGAACTATAGCAGGGAAGTGTGGGGAGGAGCAGAGCACAGCAGCATGGGGAGGGTGGGAGCTAGGAACACAAGGTGGCTCATTTTGGTTTCCCAGTTGTTTGGCAGAGAAGACAAGCCCAGATGATTATCAGCATCTGGGTTTCTCAGTCCAGCAGTAGTCTAGCAGGGCTGCTCAATTGATTTACAAAGAAAAACGACATTTATTGCTTACAGTTTCTGAGGCTGGGAAGTCCAAAGTGCAGTAGTCTAGCAGGGCTGCTCACTGGCTTGCTTGGGGTGAGGTCCTCTCCTGGAGTGATATTTTCTGCCCATTTCTGTTTCACTCTGTAGGAATTAAGCTATAGCTCAGCTTCCTCTCCCTTTCCTTCCTCCCTCTCATTTTCCCTAAGTCCTTTGGCCTGGCCTCTACCTCTCAGATCCTCTGTCCAAGAGTTTGGGTTTGGAGAGGCAGCCAGCATTCCCATTTCAGCTGCAGGATGGCATAGTGGAATGTTGGGGGAGTCACACATTGCTGGGTGTCAAATGTTGGGATGTCAAGCAGTGGCTTATTTGTGACCCATTACACACCAGGCCACAGCAGATGACCACATGCAGGGAAGCCAAGCAGGGGATGAGAAGGAATCAGGATAATTGGAATGGGGTGGGTGAAAACTTCAAAGGGTCAGGGAGGTTGGAAGAATTCTGGGATTGGGGCTGGGATCTCCTCGCCCTTTTGTGCTGTCCAATAGGCCTGGTCTGGACACAGCCCTGGGATGTGAATGGTATGAAGCAGAGGCTGGGAGACAAGCTCCTTTCTTCTCTCACCAGTCTGTTGGTCTAAAGAGCTTCAAGTTTTGGTTTGAGACATTCAGATACTGAGGGAAGCAGTAGGACAGTGTAGCAGTGGTGTACCCCCAAGCCCCTGCTAGAACCCAGACTTGGGTGGGTAAGGGGATGGGAGATGAAAGAAAAGACGCAGCTCTGGGCACATCACTGACAATATCCTGCCGCCAGGTCACAGAAAGTAGTACTGAAAAATCCTTCCAGGGATGCTAAACAAATGGATTGAGATAAAGAGGTCCCTGGGGTTGGGTATATGATCTCCCTCTATGAGGGAGGACGTTGCTCTCTGAGACCCATCCTCACTCCTCATCCAATGCCAGCGTTTGGCAGCTAGGAGAAGGTGTCTCTCCAGAGTTCTCAGCAATCAGATGATCTATCCAAATTTGCACCTTCCCCTTATCCTATCCTTGTTACCTTTGGTTTTGAGACCCTCTAAGGAGTGGATGAGGGGGAGGGACAATCCTTTAGCCCAGCCCAGGTCCCCACAATAAGATATCTGCTTCCGACACACCCCACCCCCAGCTCCCATCTCCCTCAACCCCAAAGGACTTAGCAGTAGCCATTCTATAAGGGAGCTGGGGGGATGGATCCTTGGGGAAGGGAAGATGGTTCTTTCAGAACTCAATCTTGCAGGCTGGAAAGGATTCATCCTGCATGACCACGGTGCTACTGCTAGCCAGGACCAGGACATTCAGTTGTTGCTGTTGCTCATGTGTCTGCTGGTACCACTCACGAGTCACCTCTGTGTCATGTGTAGGGATCAAAGTCACCTAGGAGGGGGACAAGACATGCCTGATGTGAGAACGTGAAGGGAAGGTAGATGAGGGGGAAGGGACACCTCATGGTCTCAGAAGCAGCCCTCCCACCCATAGAAAGGGCCCAGTCCTTTTATGAATAGGGATTGTGTTCCACTATTGCCCCTGAGTGACTTCTCCCTTGGTGTCCCTTGCTACTCACCTGAAGATTCTCCCCCCATTGGGCCTTGCCCTCCAGCAGGGCATCCAGCACAGCCCGGCTTGGCTCGCCATTGGCAGGGTCATTCCCACTGACCACATAGTAGGATGCACGCACTCGACGGAAGAAGTCAAGGTCAGCAGTCTTGCCACTGCAATGATTCGGGATATAGGCGAGATCCACATATACAGGGGGGCCAGAGCTGCCCTTGGAACCCAAGGCCACTGTAGAGACAAGCCAGGACTCATTGTAGAAGAAAAGTAGAATACTTTGGGCAACCTTCTCCCTCTCTCCCACTCCTGGAGCCTTTGACCAGCCCACACCCAGCCCCAACCCACAATCTTTCCCACTTTTCATGATATACTTACCCGGTCCTGCCTTGAGTCCGTTGACTAGGCCTTTAGACATGGGGCTGTGTCCATCTTTTTCCTCTGCTGGGATGACCTGACTTGGAGTGCTGCGTGGTCGGGGTGGGGCCCGGGATGCTCGATCTGCAGGCCCTTTACCAGGGGTGGGTGAACGTTTTCCCCGAAGATCCAGACGCCGTGCAGGGGATGCCGGCTTGGCTCTGCCTGGGGCCCTGCGCCCTACTCGCCCCTGCACCTTCTCCTTCTCCCGTAGCCTCTCTAGCCTCCCGGACTCTGAGCTGAACCCCTCAGGGTCGGCCATACATACATCAGGGCGGGGAGGGGATGGGTGGGGGTCTGGCTGGGGTATAGGGGGTGGGTCATGGCCTGGCCTGGGATGATGAGTTCCACTGACACCCCCAGCTTTGTCCACAGGCAGGAAGTCCCCATCCTCATCTGAATCGAGGGCTGCCTCAGCGGTGATGGATGGACACTCCTCAGTTTCTGGTGGGACATCAGAATCTGACTGTGAGGAGCCTGAGTCACTGGCTGATGTGGGGGGTGTCTCATCAGCCACAGGGCATGGGCCCCCTGTGGCCACTGGCCCCCCTGCCCGGTGCCGCTCTCCTCTTCCCACCAGCCGAGATTCCTCAGTTGAGAGGTCATTGTCATCTGTGGATAGGGTCAGAGATGGATTCAGGAAGGATGGGGAGAGCTCTGCATGGTGGGGCTGGGGCTCAGCAGCACATCCCTGGGGCCCAGCCTCAATCTCAGAAGAGACACCGCTGTGTGGGTCACCCGAGCCCCCTCCAGGACACAGTGGCTGCTCAGGGGAGAGCAGTGTGTTGAGCCGGGAGCTCCTCTCAGCTCCCTCAGGCCAGGCCCCTCGTTCCCAGGCAGGACAGACCTCTGCCTCTTCTTTCTCAGCCATGGCTGGGGCAGGGCCTGGGTGGCTGGGGCTGGTTTCAGTTGGGCCATTGGCTGAACAATCCCCAGAGGAACCCTGGAAGGGACTTGGCTTCTTTGTGGCTGCTCCTGAGCACTCCAGGCGGCAGGGCAGGGTGCCATCATCCATGTCTCCAGGCAGGCATGAAGCTGGACCTAGGGCCAAGTCCATTGAAGCTGGAGGTGCTGGGCTCAGAGGAGTGAGATCCCATAGACTGTGGGTAGCTGGTTCCTTTCCTGGGTCCAGCTCTCCAGACCCCTGTTTTGCAGCCTCCAGGCCTGGAGGGAAGCGCTCAGCCACACTTGAAATCACAGGTGTGGTAGCTTCAGAGGAGGAGCCTTCAGATAGGACTGGTGAGGCAGGTCGTGGCAGACTGGAGAGGAGAGGAGCCCCAGGAGAGCTAGGTGATGGGAGCTGGGGCAGTGAGGAGTCCAGGCTGGGGGCCTTAGCCACTTCCAGGTACTCATCATGCCGGGCTCTGGTTGGTGGTCCTGGAGCCAGAGCCAGAGCCAGAGCTCGATCCCCAGAGAAGGCAAGGGAGCCACAGGGTGCCGAGCGGGGTTCAGCTGGGGAAGGCAGCTGTGGGGGAGCTGGCTGCAATGAGGAGAAGCCAAAGGCTGAAGCAGGGAAGTCCAGGCTGGGTCTGGCAGGACCC